GTTTGAAGATGTGCCATTCTCACTGGGGTGAGGTGGTATCTCATTGTGGTTTTAATTTGCATCTCCCTTATTACAAGTGATGTTGAACATTTTTTCATATGCTTGTTGGCCATCTGCATTTCCTCTTTGGAGAAGTGTCTTTATTAGCTCTTTTGCCCATTTTTTGATGGGGTTGTTTATTTTTGTTGAGTTTCATCAGTTCTCCATATATTTTTGTGATCAGCCCTTTATCACTACTTTTGTTTGAGAAAATGCAAACATTACATTTTTTATATCTTTTATTCCACACTTACAATGAATGATAAGAGGCAAGAAAGTCCTATTAACAGAGTGAAAAAAAATCTACTAAATTGTTCAAAAATAATCAGATATTTCAAGAGGCTTGCATATAGCCAAGAATTGAAATCTTTTCCATCTTTTATCAGTAATTCCAATTACACACAGGCAGTGGTGACTTGTGAAAGCTGATCAGTTACAGCCTAAAAGTCATTTACCCTTCTAGGCTGAACTGGGGTTATTAGACTTGTGTGCCTTCTGGAGCAGCCATGTCACCTCACTCTAACATGGGTAAAATGAGTAAATACGTCTATTGATTGTAGTTAGTGAAGGATACAAGATTACCTGGCCTGTGATTTCAAGTATCTAATCAATAGCTTCTTTTATTTTTTAGCAACAAGCTACATATGCCAAAGAGGCACACTTTCTACTTTCATAAAATTAAACTTAAAATAGGGGCCTCACTGCTGGTGCAAGGGTTAAAGTCTCAGCACTATCAAGCTACTACCAGCCTCTGTGTTAGTTCGCTGACCAGGGAGCTAAACTACTGACACAGTAGATTTCTCCTGTTTCACCTGCTGCTTCCCTCAGCAATGTATTTCAGTCAATTGCCTGATCTGCTCCCCACTCTGTCTCTGGGGAGTCCTCTTACCACTTGCACCTCTGATCTACGCCCCAATTCTTGCATGCATAAATAGATCTTTAAAAAATTAAATTTAAAATAAAAATGTTAAATGGATAGTACACTGACAACAAATATCTCAAAACTACAGAACACATAGGACTAACTTGGAAAAATTAGTTAGTAAAATCAGATACTGTTAAACTCCAGCAATTTTCAGGGACTGTTATATAATTGCTAAGATCAGTATTTCAGAACAATGGCCAATTGTGGCATGTTGAAAAAGAAAATAAGTGTTCTATGTCCAGCATCATGGCATCTGTCAGACTCTGTGTTGCACTACAGTCACTGCCATAGAGTTCTGGAGGTCCTCAGCCACACTTAGAATACTAGTTTGCATAATACAGATTCCTGAAAGAAATGAACATAGCATTTTTCCAGGAAGCCAGCAGAATGACAGTCATTACTTCTGGTGGCTGTAACAGTAAAAATCCTAATAATGCCTCTCCTCTCACCTTTGGCCTATAAAACTTCACAGAAATGAGTAATGAACAGGTTTGATGTTGTTGCAGCATTACATTGTGACATGCTGCCACATTGTCATCTCTCTTTGCCTCGTTACTCCAGGACCTGACTCTTTACACTAATAAAAATGACTATAAGGAAATTTAGCAAGATAGGGTTCAACTGAAACAAGGAAAGAGATTACTGAAAAGACTGCAAAGAGGTTCAAGCCAGATCTTCAAACACATCATATGCTTCACAGATTATACATGCTAACAAATATTAGATATAGGTATAAACATTATTGATAAAATAGCTATGTTAAAAAATTGTAAAAGTCATATACAATATAAACTGTATATACTGTGCATGTTCCAAGATGTATACTACTGCACACAAACTGGGATCTTAAGGTCACATCTTTACAAGAATTCTAAAACTGGGGAAAATTTCAAAAAGTAAATTTATTCTGATCTTAAGAGTAAAATTTATTAGTAGCCATAATAACTTGCTTGCTTTATTAGTCAAAACTGTGTACAAAACACTTCTGCATTTAGATGCAGAGTTAGGCTATATAATTCTCTTACTAAGCTTCATTAACTCCATTAGATAGAGACACGCATCTAACCTGTAGCTGTTTTTCTGGATGATCCCCTCCGAGGTGTCTTGTTCCTCTTTAGCAGAAAATCCTAGAAGATGCCTCCTTTGACTTGCAGGGTTCATACTAGGATTCATTCTCCTGGAATCCTGTTCCAATATGCTGAAAAAAATGTAAAGCGATAATTAGAATAAAAATATGTTCATACAGACATGCCAAATGTTGCTCTGAATCAAATCAGAAGTGTGTGGCATATTGAAAAAGAAAATACGTGTATCCCCTACCTGGTATTCTGTATTTATGAGAGAGTTTTTGAAAATAATTATTGTGACCATAAGAACACCTTATTTATAAACGTGTTTAAACAAAGTCTGCACTCTACATCCTTTAAAGACTCTATAATTATTATGTATGCATGAAAGATAGACATAAGTACAATACACTGATAAATTTTATTTATTTATTAAATTTTATTTATTTATTTTTACTTATGTATTCAGATAATAGCTGAAATAAGAAGCCCTCCTGGATGCTTCAAACTCAGGTCTCCAATAAGGAAATACTTAAACTGAATGGAAATTATTGTTTAGCAATAGTTAAATCCCTTAGTCTTGTACAGAAGCAGGCCATCAAATAATACTAAAAAATTGTTATTATAAACATGCTTCCATTCTTATTTACATGTAAAATTTTCCTATCCATTTATATCTCCCCACCTTCTTAATACATTTGATCACTATGTCTGTCTTTTTGATGGGCATAACTATTGGAGGCCAAAAAAATGGGGCTTAAGGGGTGGAGAGAGGAACAGGATCAAAACTGGGGCGAAAAGAGCACACGGAACTATGGTGATGGCACACGGGTGAAGTGGTGGTGGGAAGTCCACAACCAAGATGAAAAATGTACATAATGAAGAATGATGTAAAATAAATAAATAAATATATTTTAAAAATAAATAAAATCATCATTTGGATGGTGGGGGGGAAATGGAGCTTAGTGGAATGTCAAGCTAAACTAAGGAAAACTTAGTTTGATGAGTACTTTAAGAAAACACTCCAGAAGCACTAAACAATAATTTTGTAGGAAAATGAAGTGAAAAGTATAACTGTAGGGAAAAAAAACTTTTTGAAACTTATTTTTTAAAGTATTAACTTTTTGATCCTTGCAAGTATAGTGCCCAAAACTCTACTTAGGAAAGTACAAAATCAAAATACAAAATACTGTCCAAAAAAATCAAATCAAATCAAAGAACTTTCCCTCGGTATACACACTCAATTACTTTAAGCCCTATGCACCCTCTTCCTGTCTCCCCCCACATTTTATTAGTAAATGACCCATATAACAACACTCCTATGAATGCAAGGAGTCCCTCAATTCCTCTGAAGACTGGGATGAGCTCTACCACTCAAAGACTGTCTCCTGGCCTTGACTGGGAAAGTGCTTCTTTATAAGTTTCCATCTTTAGTACTAGCTTTGGAAAGCCCGTAGCTATTCTCAACAGTTCGAAAAACATAGGTTTCGGGTGTCTGTTTTCCACTGACCAAAGATATCTATTAATAAGATCTCTCACCCTTTGCCCCACGGGTTCTTTTTCAACACTATAGTTTTTTCCCCAATGCTCTTCATTATGGTCTTCCGTCCCATCACCCACTTGTCAATATGCTCTCAAGGGCGTGTCCAGACCTGACACAGTGTTTCTCAGGTGGGTTTGATGGACTGGAGGGTGGAGGAGCGTCACAGACTGGAAGAGAATCATTTCTTCCCATGTGCAGTCTATATAATATTATGTGGCTTTTTTGGTAGTTACATCATATTAAGTGTGGCTTTTATTAAAATCCCAGCTCTTTTCTCATGAACTGATTTTGAACCATTCTCTTCCCATCCCATCCCTTCTTCTTCCTCTTCCAATTCTGAATTTATATTGATGGGGTTCAGGATAGGTCACCCAAAAATGTGCCACATACTGATTACTTTGATTTAAAGTTAAGGGTTCTCAGCCAAGAACCAGATTTTATTTTATTATCTATCCATTAGCCCAGATGTTATTTTGAAAGGTAACATATTAAGAAATTTTGAGAGGAAAATTTGTAAGTTTTCCACTTATTTATTTTTGGCTGTTGTTGCCATCGCCCTCCATTCCCTCTTGGTTATTTTTTCTAGCCTAAATGTGAAATTCCTCTTAAGCCAATTTACAGAGAAATCAACAGTCCAGTTCAATTCCAAAATGACAAATGCCTAACCCCTAAGAAATGACCTATAGAAACTAACTTTCAGCAATGTCATACTGCAGATTTATAGTCCCCTGTTCTTACTAATATTTGAAAGACACAAAGCTTTTATCTCACTGCCAGAATTTGTCTTAGAAAACTCATGACACCGTAAATATTAAAGAAAGTCCTAGTAAAACCCAAATGTACAAATAAGTATGAGAAAATTGCTGTTGATGTGAACTTTTAAATTCTTGGCATGAGTTTTTGTATCATTTGGTGTCCCTCTTTGTTGATTTAGGAAAAATTAAATTTCCAAGAACAGAGATGACTCAGATTCACACTGCACACTCAATGGCCCTTTACAGTTGGTGATGTTAACAACCCAGTCAAGCTCTTCACAATTAGCTTAAATCAGGCTCTATTCTGTATTTTTAAATAAATTTATAAAAACTAAGAAAAAAAATATACTGGAGTTGATTGTCTGGGTTCAAAATTAACCCAAACGGATTAAAGATTTGGAAGTAAGATCTGAAATCATAAAATACAATTACAAAAAAAAAAACAGGCAAAACACCCTACAACATTGGTTCAGTGATATCTTTGTGTATATGTCTACAATGGCAAGGGAATTATGACTGCCTTGGTGTGGGTCTGGGTGTGCTAAGCCTGGGTTATCTGAAGAGGAGTAACCCTACATCTCTGAAACACATTCACAGTGTTGTCAACCAATGTTACCCCAATAAAAAGAAATTAAGGCCCTCCCTGGTGGCGCAGCGGGTTAAAGCACAGCACTTAGAATCTAAAGCCGCTTCCGCATGAGTTCGATTCCCGCCTGCCCCAGAGGTGACCACATGGCGTGGCAGACCTCTCCTGACCCGCCCGCTGCTCCCCTCAGCAGTGTACTTCGTGGATCTGCCTGTTCTGCTCCCCACTCTGTCTCTGGTGAAGCCTCTCGCCGCCCCTGAGCCTCTAGCCTGTACCCCAGTTCTGTACGCACAAATAAATAAATCTTAAAAAAAAAAAAAGAAATTAAAATTTTCAAGAAAGAAAATAGAAGTCCTTGTGATCAAAACATGCTATGCCACAAGAGTCACAATAGTTTTAAGCCACAAAGTAATCACCACACCAATAAGACCCTGCTCATCTTAGAGGCCAATGGCAGAGATTAGTTTTTAAAAAATAGAAATTTCATTTTCCCCAAAAGTCTGGAAAAAGTGTTTGAAGAACAGTTACTTTACTTTTCCATTTATGAAATTCTGAAAGCCAAGAACTGTTTTTGATTTACAAAGCCACTTAAACTTTAAGATATGATTTCAGATGTCCAGTTTTCATACCAAGTAACTGGACAAAAAAAAAAGGCCCATCTCCAACTCTATCCTACCTATTGCAAACTTGCTGTCTTTTGATGTAAACAGCTGCATTTTAAATCCAAGTCTTGAGTATATTTATTTAAATTAATTTTTAAATTTTTCTTACATCATTTTTCATCTTTGTACAGTATTGGATTTCTTTCCTTAGGTGTAGTCCCC